TGGGTTTTTGGGAGGGGTGTAGTAGTGAACCACTGACCCACAACACGGTCCGTAGGTCAGACTACGGTCCGTAGGTGGCGATTGTAGGTTGCACTTGTAACTTCTCAAAATCTTCATTATTGGTCTGTTTCGGATACGGGGTGTTACAACTTTTAAGTTGTTTCTTTAGTTAATGTGTAAAATGTGCTTTTTATAGTCAAAATAAAGTTCACTTTCTTGGGTTTCACTAATCCGAAAAATGAAGTTCGTTTCTAGGGTTTCACTTTAGAGTATTTTTATGCTTTCATGCAACTTTTTGTTAAATAAATGTTTTTTTTGTTTGTATTTAGATTTGTTGGTTTGTTAAAGTTATTTTTTGTTCCTTTAGTTTCAGATTCCCCTGACTTTATTCCTTTGCTTTGTCTTCATGCCTACTTTATTCCATTACTTTGTCTTCATGCCTTTATGTTGTGGACCATAAGAAATAATACTTGTTTAATTGTTAATTATGGACCACTTGTTTAATGTGATTTACTAACTTACTTAACTGACTTATACTTACTTAAATGACTTATATGTTTTAACTAATTAACTTACTTAATGTGACTTATTATGTTAATGCCTTATGCACTTACTTAACTAACTTATACTAATGACTAATTAACTTACTTAATGTGACTTACTATGTTAATGCCTTATGCACTTACTTAACTTACTTATACTAATGTGACTGACTTACTTAACTTATGACTTATACTTACTTAATTGACTTATACTAATGACTAATTAACTTACTTAATGTGACTTACTATGTTAATGCCTTATGCACTTACTTAACTTACTTATACTAATGTGACTGACTTACTTAACTTATAACTTATACTAATGTGACTGACTTATACTAATGACTAATTAACTTACTTAATGTGACTTTTATGCTTACACTTGTGACTGACTTATGCTAATGTGACTGACTTATACTAATGACTAATTAACTTAATGTGACTTAATGTGACTTTTATGCTTACACTTGTGACTGGCTTATACTAATGTGGTTGACTTATACTAATGACTAATTAACTTTATGTGACTTTTATGCTTACACTTGTGACTGACTTATACTAATGACTAATTAACTTACTTAATGTGACTTACTATGTCAATGCCTTATGCTTACACTTGTGACTGACTGACTTATACTAACTGACTTACTTAACTTACTTACACTAATGTGACTTACTAATTAACTTAATGTCTTATGCTTATTAATGTGACTGACTTAACTAACTTACTAAATGAGACCGACTTCGTTAATGTGACTTATTTACTATCTAACTTGCTTATTTCCTATTGTAACTTACTTATGTTATTTCATAACTCTTTGTAGGTCATTAACATGGCTGAAGTTACCATATACTTTCATCATGGTGGTGAGTGGTTAACCAGTCCAGAACCACATTATGACAAATGATGGGTTCATTATTGGAAAGGGTATGATCCTGATCTAATATCTTTTATTGACTTAGTGAATGAGTACACTGATAAGTTAGGTTTTGTTGGTGTGCAAGAACTTATTGTACTTGCTCTAACTGGGAAATATTTTGAAATAATAGGTGATGAGGGAGTTAGGACCTTAACATTTTTTATCTCTACTGATTATAAATCTATTCACTTATTTGTTACTGAGGATTGTGAATTATCTGTTGATGTACCTAATATTGTCATGCATGTTGGGTCATTTTTACTTTCACTAATTGTTAATGAAGGCAAGTGAAAGTGAAGATGACAGTAATAATGTAATGGTATTTAGTTGTTCAGATTATGATACAGATGAATTAGAAAATTTTGTTACTAAAAAAGAGAGGAATATAAAAGTTTGCAAGATTATAAGGAGATTGTTAAGGGTATGGTCTTCAAGGACATAGCTGAAGCAAAACAGTTTTGTGAACTTTATGCTATAGCTAAGAAGGTAGAACTAGTTATGGTGAAGAGTGATAAAAGAAGATTGAGGTATACATGTGCTGCTGAAGGTTGTCCATTTTTACTTCTTATTTCTGGGGATATGACCACTCCTGATGTTAGTGTCAAAACACTTGTAGATCATATACAGTGTGGAACAACATATGATAACTCTTTAGTGGATTACTCAATAATAGCTTTGTATTTTAAGGACAAATTGCAAAGTGACCCCAAGTACAAGGTCAAAAAATGAAGGCTGACTTACATAGAGTGTTTGAGCTAAATGTAAGTGAAACAAAGTGCAAGAGAGACAAAAAGGAGATACTAGAGAGTCTAGAAGGTAGCTTTGTAGACTCTTACAATAAATTAGAGGGTTATGCTACTGAATTGAGAAGTTTTAATCCAGGGTCTGACATTGTGATAGATTTATCTAAAGAGGCACTATCTAATGGTAAGAGAAAATTTCTTAGGATGTATATATGCTTCAAGGCAATGAAATTGGGTTTTAAGTCTGGGTTAAGACCAGTCATTGGGTTAGATGGTACATTCCTTAAAGGAAAAGCTAAGGGACAAGTATTGTGTGCTGTTGGTCAAGACAGTAATAACTATTTCTACCCTCTAGCTTGGGTTGTGGTAGATAAAGAGACTAAGAGGACTTGAACATGGTTAATGCAACATCTGCAACATTCACTTGAACTTCAAAATGGTGAAGGACTGACATTCATATGAGATATGCAGAAGGTAATATTATACTACTAATTTGCAATTTATTTACCTTTGCTTGATACTATTTCTTTTATTAATTTTAGTTGTTTTAATTTGATACTTAGGGGCTGCTTGAAGCTGAAAAGGTTGTTATGGTAGGCTGCATGGTTATCATTTACAGAGGAGTTTGAGGACCAACTTCAAGAGATCAAGGAAGTTGATGAAGAGGTTGGACAAGATTTAATAGACAAGTATCCTTCCAAAGCATGGTGCAAAGCCTATTTAGATACAGTGTGCAAAAGGCTGTGGACAATAATTTTACTGAATCATTCAATGCTTGGATACTTGAAGCAAGGTACAAGCCAATTATTGAAATGTTGGAAGACATCAGGGTCAAGATAATGGAGAGGTTGACAACAAAAAAGGTTGTTGTGAGGAAGTGGAAAGATGATGGGTTTAGTCCCAAAAGTGAGTTGTTGTTTATTGAGTATTTGAAGATTTCCAAGGTTTGTAAGGTGAGTGGCAATGGGGATAATGGCTATGAGGTTACTGAAGGTGCAGATAGACACATTGTCAACTTAAGAGAGAAAAAATGCACATGCAGAACATGGGATCTTACTGGAATTCCATGTCCACATGCAATTAAGGCCATGGAGCATAAGAAAATGATACCAAAGAAAGAAATTGATTGGTATTATAGTAAGGAGGCAGCCTTGGCAGTTGACAAACATAAGTTACAACCTGTTAAGGGGGAACCATTCTGGAAACGTGATCCTTTGCATGCCATTGAACCACCAGAATTGGTCAAGATTGTTGGTAGACCTAAGCTTATGAGGGAAAGAGAAAGGATTGAAGATGTTAAGAGGCAAGGAGTATGGAAGCAAACAAGAAAAGGAAAAGTGATGACATGTAGTAATTGTGGAGAACAAAATCATAATGCAAGAGGATGTGAAAAGGTAATTTTCATTTAATCTTTAATTTCATCAAATAATTATTCCATTTTACTATTTAATTCCCTATCTTCTATTATGATTAATAAGGCAAATCAGGGGAAGCAACCTACTAAGCAAGGAAAAGAAACTGGTAGGGAAAAAAAGAGACAGCCTAGGAGAGGTTTAGTTGATGAAGATGAAGCTTCTGAGGAAGACATCAACTGCACAGCCAACTGTACAACCCCACAACCAACACAAGAGAGTCAGTCTGAATATGCTTATTCTAGCATCTATTTTCCAGTAGTTGAGGATGATGATGAAGATCCTAGGCTAAGGCCAAGAACAATCTCAGAAGAAGCTTTTCTAACAAGATTGAGAAAGAGACAGAACCCACAAGAACCAATTGAAAGTAGAGTAATAGGCTTAAGAGGTGACAAATTTGGTATTAGTGAACCTACAAATCTTCCCATAGCACCAACTGACTTAACTTGGAATGGACAGGGTGCAGTTACTACAAACCAGCTACAAAAGTTGAGGCCAAGAAAGGGATGATGATAGTGTGTTGGTACTGTTTTGTATATGTTGGTGCCTTCATTGATGTTAAGGCTAAACTTGTTTCTTTGCTATGTTTTGTATAGGCTGGTGCCTTAAATGATGTTAAGGCTAAACGTATTTTTTTGCTATGTTTTGTCTAGGCTGGTGCCTTAAATGACGTTAAGGCTAAACTTGTTTTTTTGCTATGTTTTGTATAGGTTGGTGCCTTAAACTTGTCGTTTTGGTACTCTGTTTTGCTTCTACTGTTTGTATAGGCTGACTGTATCAGCTAAAACTAACTGTCGTTTTGCTTATATATGACCAATGTTTGAATGTTATATATGGTGTCTTTGTTGTGCTTTTGTGCAAGTTTAATATTGCCTTAGTGACTTTCATGTTGACAGTTTAATAGTGCCTTTATGCAAGTTTAACAGTTTATTTGTTTATCCTTTGTGCAAGTTAGTTAGTGACTTTCATGTTGACAGTTTAATAGTGCCTTTGTGCATGTTTTATAACACTTGAAAACACACGTTTCACAAACGATGGTAAGACAAACTTTCATTTCATTTTCAGATTCTCTAAATACAAGGAAAACATAATTGCAATATCAGAAAGTTTATCCATCTTCAACATAATGACTAATATAACACCTCTAAATACTACAAACTTTAAGGCAAAAGACACAAAATAATGTTCACAGCCAACATTTGAAATTCACAATACGTTTGAAGTAATAGCTACACTAAATAATGGCCAACATTCAAAACATAAGATTCACTTATACATAGGAACACTTGAAATAACTAACACTTAAACTAAAAATACTTGAAATAACTAACCCTTGAAACTACAATTCAACAACATATATTCCTCATGCTACACAACAGTTAATCACTTGAAAATTGCAACAACAAATACCACAAACACAGTAAATGACAATATACACAACATCTTCAACTTCGACACTTTCGCTTCCAAATTTCTTGATTTATTCACCTCGAAGTAGTTTAAACTCTCTAAATTCTCCAATGTTTTCTTCAAATTGTCTCTTTCAATCTTAATCACATTCAACGACTCTCTCAAATTCTCCATTTTCAACGTAGCAACTTCCAATTTAGACTTCAGTAAATTGACTTCAATGGAAGAATTTTTTGAAGAACTGTCTTCCCACCTCCAAAATCCACAGTTTTCAATCTGATAAAAATAACAGAGAAGAACTCATAATCACCAAAATACAAGCAGAAATCACATTAATTTACATTTAGCGAAAAATGTACCTTAGGTTTAGAACATCTATAAAATCTTCTTCCGGGGTTCAATGGAGTCCTTGAAGTGAAACAACGAGCCATTTCACCACAAAAATAAGTCATCATCATGGAGTTACTAATTGAATCACAAGAACTTTCAAACATGGTTTTAGGTCTGATTTGAGGGAAACGACAGATAGATAAAAAATTGACTACAAAATTATGACCAACACACGATAGATTCGACGAAGACACGGTGGAATCAACTAACAAACTGGAATCAACGAAAGAACTAGGCTAGGATTGTGAGATACGAAAGTGAATTAGATTTGGGAATGTTTAATTGACTTAGATATTTTAGAGAGAATCAGATGGGTTATTGGGTTTTTGGGGCAGGTTGTTAGTTTATGGGTTAAAAGAATGGTCAAACAGGTAGTTGATTAGGATTAAAACACCTGTACAGAATTAGGGGTCCGTTAGTGAGAGGGGCATGTGTGTACCGATAATTGGACGGCAGGGGCTTATGTGAACACAAAGTATAACGGAGGGCATAGACGTACCATTTATCAAAGTTCGGGGGTAAATTCGTCCTTTTTCCCAATATAGAAATATACAGTTAGAATAACTATATACAATTACGAATTTATACAAATATGGGTACAACTATAGTTCTAAATTGAATATGTTTTTCAGAGTAATATGAATTTTGAAATTATGCAAATATGATAAATTCGAAATAACGAATTTGTACAAACACAAACATCTAAACTTTAAACAGTTATGCAAATTATACTATACAAATTTCAAAAATAATGCATTTATACAACTCGACTTAATTGATGTATTCCTATCAATATTGAAATGTTTCAAATATCCATTACCTCTCTTTATCTCTGCTATTAATTTTATTTTATAAAAATATATTTATAGTCTTCAGTTTATTAATTATGGACGAGATGTCTAACTATGTTGCAAATTAAAACAGTAAAAAAAAACACTCAGACACTCATAGTTTTAGAAGAATTTTGTGTAAGAAATTGGAATATGAATCTTGAAGTTATAACCTTAGCAATACTTATTAATTATGATATACTGAAAAGGTGTATGAATTTTGTCTTAAAATGTTGATAAACTTATTTTTGGATGCTTGCATTAGTAATTAACTGGTTCATAGATAATATTTTGATTGGATACTTGCAAAATGCAAAATTATTGGCTAGATTTGAGAGATTTTCGATGTGACAAGTCCTTGTTCGAAGGCAACATACATTTGAATTGATTTGAAGTCTTGTGAATGGGCTTCTTCAACGAAGATATAGTCAAGTGTCTTGATTTTACATGAACATTTCACTTTTTTTATTTTATATTAAAAGTTTCACGAGGAATTGAAATCTTTCGATTAGGTTGTCAGTATCTTAACTATAGAAGGAAAAGTATATGTGTAACACCCCGACTTTTCAAAACGTCTAAATTAACTCGTATCTTCGTGGAAAGACAAGGAGGGTGAGTAATAAATTAAAAATGATGTGGTATGTCATATTTTAAGTGTTCAAGGGTTGTATCTCAAGTTTTGAAGTTAAGTAAGTGGCAAAATAAAAGTTGGCGAAAGTTATCGTAAGTTCTTTTTAAAGATTTCTCTAAAATTTGGGTCAAATATCTTGGATGTTTTCTCCCAATATATTAAGAGTTAGAAGGCCTATCACCCATTAAATCGAAGGCCTACGAGTCTAATTTGCAACGCATAAAATCCCGTATCAAGCCGACATCAGAGCAAAAAGTTATGAGGGTTTTACTAGGGACTGCCGGAGCAGAATCCGGGTCGGGTCAAAAATATGGTATGTCGGCTTATTTAACATTTTAAGCCATAAAAATATTTCATTTCAATTCCTAAACCAAAGAGAAAGCTTAAGAGAGAGTTCCTATGGAGTTCTAGCATGATGAGGTTAGTTTTTGACGATTTCTACCATTAAACATTATCCCCGTGCCTAGAAACGTAATCCCTACACGTGACAATCATATTTCCCTTCTATAAGCTGCATTTGGAGTTGGTTTTTGAAGATATAAATTTGTAATTATTGGTGTTTCTTC